CATGATTTTGGAAAACAAAACGGAGTTATCTGTTTTTGCAAATAAACTTTTCATATCCACATAAAACAGACAAAAAGTAATTATTTGGTAGGTATTTATCTTAAAATATTTTATAACATTTTAAATAATTATTTATTTTTACTGTTTATAGTATAGTTATTAATTCTTAAATGCTAATGAACCTTGATAACAGAGAGAGCAGAAATCAATCTGACTGAAATGTTTCACCCCTTCAGTTATGGATTTTTTTTTAAATGGAAATTTACTTTAAAAATCACTTCGCAAAAATGTAAAAGAAACCATGTTCATTGAATAACTTTTCATTTGTTTCATTCATTAATTTGCAACTTTATCCATCCATTTCCTAATTACGTTGGAATTTAATTGGTAGCAAGGCTGTAACCACATATTTAAGATTGGGATAAATAGATATTATATGTGCAATGACTTCATTAATAAGTTCAAGGAAAGATTTTGTTGTTTCTGTAATGTTGAGTCAGAGGCAATTTTATACTATAAGCATTAGATTGTTCCTTTTCGAACGGTCTCTGCCGTTGCATTGACACGCTTAAAGGGAAACTCCTGTTTACTCTGATACTGAAGCCCGATTTGTTCATGTTCGTGTACTGTAGCTGCACAAACCAATGGCGCTTCAACCCACCAAAAGGGGAGGAGCCGACCTCTATAGAAGTCGGCTCTGAGCGCCATTTCGTCAGAATTTTTCTCCTTCAGTGATGAAGATCATCTCCTGACTCTGCAAGCAAAAAGCCAAAGAAAGAAGAAGGTCAGCTCAGTCTGCTGCTCGCCACTGTAGAAGGATCCCCCAGCAGCAGAATAAGCCAGAAGCCTTCCCCTGCGGCCATTCAGCACTAAGAGCAAATTTCTGAGCAAATTTCCTGCGACGTTGTTGCAAATGTCGTGCCGCGAGTGTGGCTCATGCAGGGGTGCAGACAGGCACAGTGAGTGACTCGCTTGTCTGGGCAGCACCTACGCAGAGGCTGCGCTCACTGAGATGGCATGCTCTCACAGCTAGAGCATTAGTCTCGCCCTTCTCCGCTCGCGGATCGTCTTCTTTAATGAAGGCGGTCCTCCCCGCTTCCTCTCTCCCCTAGGAGGAAGAAACAGTGGAGCAGTGGGTTTTAACACCGGGCTCGAGTCAACTCTCGCCGGCACAGCTCCCATGTGCTTCACTCTACCTCCAACGCCTTGATTCACCGGTGTGCTTCGCATGTGAGGATTAGCGCCCCTTGTCGCCAGCGAGCGGCTTGATTTCCTTCGGCACATCTGAGGAGGAAGCCACCTTGGATGACTCCATGTCATTAACAGCATTGGATGCTGAAGAGTGGGTGTGTTCTGGCGAAGAGGCCAAAACCCCGCATATAACGAAGACAACATTGGCTGGCGTGGAAAGCTAGCTGATCCGCGTGGAGGACCTTGGCCTGGCTTGGTCGGCTCCAGAAGAGCCCGTCTGCGGCCTCCTAGACGAGTGGTACCTGAAGGGATGCCACCAACATTCCTCCCGCCAACCGCCCGCTCCGTTCCTGCTGGCAGTTCACGAGGAACTCATCAGGACGTGGCGTTCCCCCTACTTGGTCCGTGTTAATTCATCTTCTTCCACCACTCTCACCACTGTTGACGGCGTTGAAGAAAGAGTCTATAGCAAGCTCCCCACTCTTGAAGAGGCGGTCGCTGAGCATCTGTGCCCTTTTTTGGCCCTGGGGTTGAAAGCCCATGCAGCACATCCATCTAAGCCCTGCAGGACTACCTCAGCCCTAGCAAACAGGGCTTATTCAGAGGCTAGCCAGGCAGGCTCAGCGCTTCACAGGCCAAACTTCTCTGCACCATGGACGAGTCCGGCCAGAGATCTGATGCCTTTAGAGAGCTGTGCACAGCGACTGACCTGGCTCTGCACGCAACTAAGGCCACTGCACAGGCGATCGGCAAGGTCATGGCCATTGGTGGTGATGGAGCGCCATCTTTGGCTTAATTTGATGGAGATCAGGGACACTGACAAGGTCGCCTTCCTAGACTCGCCAGTCTCTCCTAAGGGACTGTTTGGCCCTGCCGTGGATGGGTTTGCCGAGCGGTTTACAGAGTCATAGAAGTCATCGCAGGCAATGCGTCACTTCCTGCCGAAGCGCTCCAGTGCCGCGGTTGGTTCAAGTTGCCAGAAGGCTCCATCCGCTCAGCAGCATGCCAAGCTGGTGCCGCTTCAGCCCCAGCATAAACCTGAGCCTGGGCTTCAGCAGCGCCCCTGGACAGCGCCAAGCTCCCCGCCCCAGAGTGACGTTGGACCCGGAGCCCCAGAAGCCGTCCTGATCCAAACGCAGAGAGGAAGAGGAGAGGGTCAGTTCTAAAGTGTCTATCGTTAGAGATTTTACTATATCATGTATTCCGCGGTATGCAAATATATCTGCGTAACATAGTACTACTTAAAAGTTATATACACATTGGAGTGACAAGGAAACATGCATGAATGAGAAAATAAAGAATGGATGCACTTGATAGTTATTAAGTGCAATAAGCAGTGAAAAAGAACTCAATGCGGTGTTCGCGCTGACTGACACACACTGAGAAAGTGCCTCTCTCAGACAGCATGCGATCGCCAATTTGGGACTTGCATGATGTTTAATAAAGTTAAGCGCAATAAGCAGTGAAAAAGAACTCAATCCGCTGCTCGCGCTGACTGACACACAGCCGAAGCGTGCTCACTGAAAGCCCCTCTCTCAGACAGCATCTGATCGCAAAAACAGATCTCTTTCGTGCTTGAATGGTCAAATATGCACACAATTATGTCAAAATGCCCGTTGTGTGGAGTATTCGCGTAAACAGTCGGTTATGTGTTAAATAAACGTAAATAGTCGGGTGAAAACCAGATTTGTATCAGTATATTAGAACCGTGCAGTTGGTCTTAAAGGGACAGCAGTCTAATTTACCTGCTTCTGTCTGTCATTATTAATGTTAATCACTCACTGCATTTGACCGAATCACTTTTGGATCTTTAATAAGAATCAGTTCATGTTTGATTGCTACAGTGAAGACTATAGTGTTTTATTTATACACTTCATTCAATTTCTGTAAAATTTCTTACTACATGTTTATTTTATATTTATTTGTGCTATTGTGTTTGTAATTTGCTTCTTTTTCCTATTTTTTATAACAAAACAAAAAAAAGCTGTATCGAGATATATATCGTTATCATGAAATAAAATTTCTCATACCGTGAAATAAGATTTTGGTCAAATTGCCCACCCCTAGTCATGACAGATAACTCCAACTCGGGTTGGGGAGCTCTGTATGAGGTCAGACTGGCGTCCGGCTCCTGGTCAAACCTGGAGCAGCGCTTACACATCAACTGCCTCGAGATGATGGCGGTTTTTCTGGCCCTAAAAACCTTCCTGCCGGTCTACGTCCTGGTCCGTTCGGATAACATGACAGTGCTAGCCTTTATCAATCACCAAGGCAGGCACAGGTCATGCTCCCTTCACAGGTCGGCTCGATGCCTCCTTTGATGGATACAAGGCAAACTCCTCTCACTGAGAGCAGTTCATGTGCCGGGCAGACTGAACCAGGGGGAAGACATGCTGTCCAGGGACAAGGTAGCTCCAGAATGGAGACTACATCCCCAAACGGTTCAAATGATTTGGTCTGTCTTCGGAAGGGCAGAGCTGGACTTCTTCACCTCAGAAGACAACTTTCACTGCCCAATCTACTTTTCGAGACAGCGAGATGCCCTGGCCCACGATTGGCCCAGCGCTCGCCTGTACACCTTCCCCCCGGTCAGGGAAGTCAGAAGCTCAGTCCTCCTGGTGGCCCCACTCTGGAGGAATCAGATGTAATTCCACAAGTTGATTCAGCTGCTATCGGCAGCCCCTTGGTCGATACCACTGAGGGAGGACCTTCTCTCGCAAGTGAAGGGCATGATTTGGCATCCCCGGCCAGAGCTGTGGAACAACAAAGTTGTTGAAGTTTATATATAATTTTGATACTAAAGAAAACACTAAGGTCTAACAGTAGTATTCAGGTAAATAATAGCCTACAAAAGAAATTGAATAAATTAATCAAATGTAAATAGCACTGCATAGTCTTCACTGTATAAATGGATGGATTGATGCTTATTAAAGCTACTAAAGTCATTCAGTCAAGAGTAAAGATTGAAGTTTCTCTTTTTCTTTTGTTGCTTGATTATCATTAATGATATGAATGGCTAGTTTTATTAGGCTGTCACTTTTAAGAACTAATTCATGGATCCAATATACTGACACATCAAATTTTCTCCAATATATATCGCTTTACCTCAAACATCTTGTTTTCATAATTCATGGAAGACAAACTCAAAAAAATAAAATTAGATTAATCCCACAACAAAAATGTATCATTGATGATGATATCGCATATAGAAATGATTGGCAAGTACAATTAGCTTGATAACTTTTATGTAGCAATAATAAATTGTTAGAGTATCTTTTTAATTTCTCCAGTATCGAAAGCAGAACCTATCACGTTAGAGTTTATCAATACTATGGTCTTTTGTAATTAACCCCAGGGCTCATTTAATACCGGGTTCCCACAAGAGAAGCACAGAAAGACCAGTAACAAAGCTACATGACAGTATATCATGCATCTGTGATTCCTAAATACATCTTAAGTCGAAGAATAACTAGTCATTTTAACAATGAAGAACACTATTAAAACTAATTCTCAGTCTCTCTTAAAAGTGTTACAGTCTCTTCTTCAGCTTCCTGAACAAAAACAGTTTGTAAAAAGCTTCTACTTTCCTTCATGAAAGAGTAAGCAAACTACAAGTCACACATATGCATTATAAGACAATTGAACATAATATGGAACTTATAAGAAAGTACAATATCATTTATATCATGAAGCAAAATGATACACAAGAATAAAACTTTTTGACTGTTCTTTGGGAAGGAACTCCATCTTTGGGTTGATCTGAATCTCACAGTTGAATCTGCTGGTTTTGAAGATGAAGATGAACTTTATTCAGTGAAAACTTTAGATGATGTTTCTTTGTCCTGTCGCTTGTAATGTCTGGTTAGGACAGATTTATCCAGATGATATTTTATTGCTTGATGCATTATTGTGTCACATTTGGTGAGGATGCACCATCAGACCTGAAAGTGCTGGATCTGAAGATGATCTACTTACTGTGATTGTTTTTTGTATGATTGCGTAGAGAAGATGAATGACAGAAACGCTTCCCATATGCAGTGCAGTGATACAGTTTCTCTCCAGTGTGAATCCTCTCATGTGTTTTCTGATGTATTGATTGACTGAATCTCTTGTCACAGTGTGAACACTTGTATGGTTTCTCTCCAGTGTGGATCCTCTCATGTGTTTTCAGATTTGATGACACACTGAATCTCTTGTCACAGTGTGAACACTTGTACGGTTTCTCTCCAGTGTGGATCCTCTCATGCAGTTTTAAACACTTTGCTGAAGTAAAAGTCTTTTCACACTCAAAGCACATGTACTCTCTCACACCAGTATGTATTTTCTGATGTTCTTTTAAATAATGTGAACATGAAAAACTCTTTCCACACAAATGACATGAATGTGGCTTCTCCTTTGAATGAACTTTCATGTGCTGCTTCAGGTCTGAAACCCTCAAAAATGTTTTGCCACATTGATCACATGCGTATGGTTTCTCTCCAGTGTGAATGTTCATGTGCTCTTTAAGATGTGCTGATAGTATGAAACTCTTCCCACATTGATCACAAGTGAACGGTTTCTCTCCAGTATGTAATCTTGTATGCCCTGTAAGGTGTCCTTTTTGTGTGAAACTCTTCCCACATTGATCACAGGTGTATGGTTTCTCTTCAATATGGATTCTCATGTGAACATTAAGACCATTTTTGCTTGTCAAACTCTTCCCACATTGATCACATGTGTACGGTTTCTCTCCAGTATGGACTCTCATGTGAACATCAAGACCATTTTTGCTTGTCAAGCTCTTTTCACACTGAGTGCAGGTGAAAGATTTCTTGGCTCTTCTTTGCTTTAAATCTTTCTGTTTGCTTTGAAAGCAGCTAAAATGTTTTTCTCCAGTTTTGACATGATTTTTCTCCTCCGCTTCACTCAAATCTTCATTCTCTTGGTTTTCTTCAATCGACTCTGAAATACAAGTGAAAATGGTTCATTTGCAGTAACTCTCAGTAACAGTGGAAAGTAGACAGTTGCATTACAAAAGTTTGGTCATTTTGATGCATTTTTATAAATTATACGTCCCTAAATATTTCCATGAATGAGGTACATTGATCTTCAAATTATTTTTAAAACATTATAATCGCAAATCCCATGTTTCTATGAGAACTATTAAATATGTTTGCTCAACTACACAAATATGATATCTAACATAAATGTTCTTTAAAGAAAAAAAAAAGTAGTTCATAGAAAGTGTCCCATATTTGGTTACTTGATGCTTTAGCTATATTATTGCAGAGCTCTAAAGATTTTTCCTATTACAACAAACAAAAACGGCTTAAAACCTAACAGTCAGCATTAATTATAAAGAGGGAAGAATAAACACCAACCTGTTTGTTCGATCTGCAGGGGTCTGGATCTCTCATCTTCTCTCTGTCCTGTCCTGTAATAAACTCAGCCTTTGGAGATTTCAGCTCTTCCTGATGATTTGATGCTCGTCTTCACTTGTAAACTGATGGGAATATTCCAGCATTTATTGCTGAATTGCTGAATGTGAGATTGTTGTGGGAGGAGCTTCACTGAACATGAATGTCTGGGTAGAAAAGCAGATTTGCCAAAACTAGTAAATCAGTTTACTTGGATTTTTAAAAAATTAATTTACACATTTTTTTAAACATTTGTATGTAACATTTTAAGCATTTGTATGTAAGTGAAGCAGATCTACTCCAAATTCTATCTTTGATGAGACCAGAGCCTTGCAAATATAAAGTGTTGGCTCTTTGTAGATCATTATATTACTATATTAAATGTAACAGCATCAACACAAAGAGCAGATCAATTTAAAATGCTTATTCAGTAACACTGCACTCACATACAGTATGTGCTAATTCACACAATCTATGCATTTCTGTTTTGTCTTTCTCTCTATTGTTAACATTTACATTTAGTCATTTAGCTTTTATCCAAAGCGACTTACAAATGAGGACATTTTTTTAAGAAAACAAGTAGATAGAATAGAAGAAAGCAAGCTAGTGTTAGATTCTTGAAGATGGTTAAGGGCTCAGCGGCTCAGATTGAGTTGGGCAGGTCGTTCCACCAGGAGGGAACAGTTAATGAAAAAGTCAGTGAAAGTGATTTTGTGCTTCTTTGAGATGGCACAATAATGCGTCGTTCACTTGCAGAACGCAAGCTTCTAGAGGCACATAACTCTGAAGTAATGAATTTAGGTAAAGGGGTGCAGAGCCAGTGGTGGTTTTGTAGGCAAACAATGCCTTGAATTTTATGCGAGCATCTACTGGTAGCACTAGCCAGTGCAAATTGATGTGCATTCTTTTCGGCTCATTAAAGATTAATCTTGGAGTGGCATTTTGGATTAAATGTAGAATTAATTGTAAATTAATTTCTATCTACATTTTATTTAATTTTTTGCCCCAGTGTTAACATATAAGAAGATATCTGTCTAGAAATATAGAACAGAATACAATGTAAATTCTTCGAAATTTAAAGAACAGTAAGAATGAAAAATTAACCCCTTAACTGTCACTCACATTTTTGAACATAGACGTGAAAGTGCACGATCCAAACTTAAATTTGTATAATTCAAGAACAAAAACATTTTGTAACATGACATTGATGTACCATTTTCATGGTAATGCAATGTTTGATTTTAAAATGGGTTTCAAAGGATGAATTTTGAGATTTAAAGTTTTCAATTGATATATAATTTCTGATGATTTCTAAAGTGTGATAGAGAAAAAGGCAACGAAGAAGACTTTTTTTGACAAAGCTCAGAACTCCTGTTATGATGTAGATTTTTGAGGTGCACTCGTCAAAAATGTATCTATTAATTTTCCTACATAATTTTTAACAAAAACAATGGTAGAATATCTATTTAGGAGTCTTAGACCTTTCCAATGATATATAGTTTGTCATGATTAGATTAGGATTTAATTGTAATATAGTGAAGTAAACTATAAAGGGGACGGGTGACAGTTAAAGTGTTAAAACATAAACACAGACATTTGATGGCACCCATCTTCATTAAGAATCAGAGTCATATAACTACACTAAAGCACATCTAAATATAGTTTGATTTTCTAACAACTACATTCAGAGCAATTAAAGTACGTAATTACATTATTAACATGTTATAGTTTTATATGTGCAGTAATTGACAGTGGTCATAAAATCTTCTTTAAATAGAAAGAGTACCACAAAACAAAAATTTAATGTTTCCAGTGTGGCTATTTCTCTTCATATTTCTGTAGTGATTTAAAATACCCCGCGTAGCTCGTTATACGGACTAATTATATTTAGTATTTAGCAGTATATGTTCTTAATTTTAACCGTGTAAAGTAGCTATAACAAATTTAATCTGCGAAACATAAATCTCAAAAGAGGAATAACTTTTTAAAAAATAGCAGCGGCAAAAAACTTGATATCGATTTGCATCAATTCCTCTCACAGATCACAAGACATTGGTAACAGCAACATTATCACTCCATACATCAAAACATTCATTTACACGAACATAATAAAACACAAAATGGCTCATCAGTTTTCTAAAGTGTTTTTGAAAAATCACATACCCTGCCTTTAATGAATATAACATGTTTTCCTCACATACTTGTTGCCTACTGTTCTAAGTGTTTAAGTCGGCAAAGACTCAAACAGCGCTGTACTCGATGAAAACAAGGCAGAAACGACGTCGCATATGTTGCATAAACAAACTGAGTAAAGTATATTTTTCAATTAAATATGCGAAAATCGCGATCTGCTCACCTCTCCTCAGAAGACTCGACGCTGAGTGTAAACGCGAGCTGGTGATGACGTCATCGTCGTCAGTGGCAGATCATCAAAAAGCGCCAAACTATATTTAAAACGTCAAAACATCTATAAAACAACACATTAAACAAAAACGAGAGTTACTAACATAGGCTAACATTTGAATTCCTTTAGATATAAAGTATCGCTTTTTATTTCTCCTCTTTCCTACTACTTGTTTCACTTCTGTTTCAGTTTTTTATAACCATTTCTTACTATGTGTCAGTAAGTTGTTATTTTAGCATGTGTGTTTGGCTCAGTGTTATTTTTTTTTACGCTTACTGATAAACTAATGTAGTTTGATTTGTATTAGTTATCTATTTTAGTTTTAGTTACAGTTGTAGTAATGTTGTCATTTTATTAGTTTTTTATTATGTCTATATAGGTTTTTTATTAAGTTTTAGTTTTATTTAATTTGAGTTATTTCAGTACTTCAACATACAAAATGGAAATGAAATAATATATATATACTGAATGTATTTATATATATATATATATATAT